AAAAATTTTAAAATTATCCTAAAGCCTCAAATCACCTTTCTATAACCTCAAAAATACCTATTCATACTTAAATAAATATTTAATAATCATAAGTTTATCCCTACATCTCAGATTTCACATAAATTCAACCATATAGATCTAGATTTTAACTCAAAAATTCTTAAACATGAGTTTCAACCTCAAAAAAATATTCTATAATATTTATTATATCCCTAAGAATTTTAACCTATATTTTTAATCCATCATATCATCAGATTAACTATCCTATAGAAAAATCCTAATCAAAATATTTACTCTATCCTATAAAATAATCATATCACTAGAAAGCTAATATTATTTAGAAAATAACTATAAAATTAATTTTGTAATTAAATAAATTTTTAAATGCTAATCTAAACAAGAAAGTTAGAACATACCTGACGAAAAAGAAAATAATCCCCCCTTGCAAGAAAACGTCGAGCAACGTGAGAGAAAGAGAGAACAATAATATAAAAATGGGATTGTGAGTCCCAAAATTATATTAAAAAAAACTATAGGTCTGAATTTAATTATTCAAACCTTTGGGCCATAAGTTGCAATTTTCTCTAAATTGCATCTTAGCCTCTCATGCTTCCTAATGCACACACCCCCTCCTTTTTATACATGAAGGCACCTCTTCTCTTCTCTCATCTAACCAATGTGGGACTTAGAAACAAAAACCTTCCACCCCCCTTTTTTTGTTCCTTCTACCTTCTCTCTTTTTTTTAACACACACATAAAAAAATTATTTATGTATTATATCTTAACTAAATATTGCTTATGTGATTTTAAATTTAAATTTTTAAATTCATAATTAAATACCTAACCATAATATTATTTCTAAATAATCTCAAATAATATAAATTCCTATTATTATCATTTTTTTCCTCAAAACCTAAATTCCACAATTTCTTTATTATATAAAAATCAGGATGTTACACTCATACACAATGGCCCGAGCTCACCTTCAATGGTAGGATCATCCAGCCAAAGATGTCCTATCTCACTTCCAGAATATGGTTTTCCCTATCACACATGATTCAAGGTGTCATTACTCCATCACTACATCACACTAATGCTAAGGAATGTAAATCTCCAACACCATATCCCATATGGGAATTAAATAGATAATCTCTAATGCCACACCTTACTAGACACTAAGAAGATAATTGTCAGATAGACTTCCACTACTCCTTCCTGCAGATGAACTCCCACCCCCTATCATAATCATGCTCACGCATTTCATAATTATCACATACTTGTATCAAAATCATAAATTACTCATATAAGAAATTTTTATAAATTTATTGTTTTAGAATCATTTTAAATACAAAAAATCCTTGTTTCGTAATATGTAATACTTTCAAAACACATGAATGCAAATTACATATTTACTCATGAACAGTTAAGCATTTAATCAAATAGAGTAAATTATTCTGTTACCTTAACCCTTTTGTCACAAAAAGGGTTACCATAGTCTAACTTTTGCTCCACACAGTCCACACACGCAATAATACTCGAGCAATACTTAATATACATGATTAAGTAAGAACTGTCAATTATCACTCTAATTAAACCTTGAAATCACTAAATTTTGAGTACCTATTATACCCAAAGATAACATTTTATCAATATTAACTCTTTCAACACACTCCATTAATCACATTTAGCACCCCAGCATACTAACATCACTAATCATTTACCCATATTGTTCTAAAAACTCTCAATTTTCACTTAGAGTTCATTCGAACCCTAACTAAAAATTTTAAATCACTACACAATCCATAAACTTAGATTTAGAAACTTAATTTAACTCCCCAAGATCCTAACTAAACTAATGAGTCTTGTCAAAACTAAGGAGAGACAAAATCAAGCCCCAATCATACCTAAAACCATTAAAATTTACATAAAAGGGAGAGGGAGATGTTTAGAAAGTTTACCCAACAATATTCAAGCTCTAAATGCTTTAAAGATGACATTAGGGATTAGCCCTAATAGCCCTCAATGTCTCCTCCATCACCTCTCTCTCTCTCATTTCTCTGTTTTCTTCTTCTAAAACAGATATAATTTTACATCTGATTTAACCCAAATTTTGGTCATATGCCATGGCACATTATGCGTGCAATACGGCACATGACACAGTAAGTGCCACATGCCATTTTATCCTCCCGTTATAATCTGGTTAACTTATACACCATCTTAGCTCATTTTCAAGGCTGTCTAAAGGTCCAATAACTTTATTAGTGTCTTAAAAACACCATTAATTTTCTAAATCACACATTTTGACTAATCTAACCTTCTTAAACACTCAAAGTTCTAAGTTAAAAACTTAGAATGTTACAATGATCATACAAGTTCAATCAAAATATGCGAATCTAAGCTTATGTATATCATAATAATTCATCATTCTCATAATTCCAAAACTTGCATGCTTATCATAGTTCACACCATATTATAATTTACAATAGCTCATCATATAATCAACTCATAGCCAATCCAGGTCCACAGTTTATTTTTTTAAATACCACATAACATCTATATAAATATAATCATTAAGCATTTCATCACAAATATGCATGCTTATCATATCTCTTTCAACATCATCAATTATGATCACTCATCATGTTAACACAGTCAACTCATAGACAATTTAGGTTTAACATCTTATGTTCCAATATCACATAACATTTATATAAATATAATCACCAAGCACTTTATCACAATGAGTTATGTTTCATATTTGGATAATACTTTAAAATCAACATATTTATCTATATGCTCATTTTGCTCACTTCAAGCGATCCATAATAATGCTTAAAATGTAAATGCAAACACAGTGATATACTATAATTAAATTTTTGGTTATCTCAACTCTTGGTTTATCAACCAACGGTACTCGTGAATATTAAATGGAGCCTCCGATAAGCTTAATAGCATCAATAATGTTCAATCTACAATCAAATACATCAATATTCATTAATGACTAATTATCCTTAATTAATTCTAATCAAACCCTAAAGCTAAAAGTCATATTGTGGTCTTTTAGCCACAACCAAATCCATTTTTAGGTTCTATTAGTTCATTTAGACTCCCATTAATCTAATCAACACCACTAGTACCCATAACCTCCTTAGCTCAACTAATTAGCTCTACGGTTTACTCCAAACCCCACTTTAAAATCTTAAAACATCAATAGTATCATAATCTAAAGGTTAGATATTTAAATAAACACCTATTTATCTTATTAAAGTAAGAATTCTAGGCAAAGTCACAACTCATTTTTGGACTCCCAAAGAATTACTCGATAACAATGATAAAAATGCATACGAGAGAAAGAGAAGAAATTGTAGGCACTTACCTAAGTGATTAGAAAATTCAAATAGACTCAATTAGATGTTCACAACAAACTCTAGCAGAGTTCTCCTCATTCACCTTCAAACTCCCACTTAACTCTCTAATTTTTTGAGTTGAAATGCAAATTTAAAGGCTTAAAAATCAAGTTTTAGTTGCGGGCAAAGATAAAAAATTAAGGTTTCAAACATGGTTCATCTAATTGGCCTCAAATGTGGCCTAATACTACCTAGGGTACAATTCTAAGCTTCAATTAGGGTTTGATAGACCTATTAGCCATTCATATATTATCTTGTAATCCGAGTTAATTTTTAATTATCTAATTTATCTTTAATTACCTAATTAATCTTAAGTTAAATATTCTAGGATGTTACAAGTCCCACATTATATTTTTTTTATATTTTTATATTATAAAATATTTGAGTTAAGAAGCAAAAATAATCCTTTAAATAGAAGTTGAAGGGCAAAAATGACCCTTAACCTAATAAAAGTATTTAAAAAATAATGGGACCTATTGATGATTAACAAATGTTAAGTGGTTTTAACATCATGATGATGATGGATTGAATCTTTAAAATTAAGAGATAGAATTGACCTATAATTAAAATTAAGAATATTTGTGACCTTTAGTATACAGTTCAGAAACAAAAATGACCCCTAATCCTTAAAAAAATTTGCAGCCAATGTTAGAATCCGCTAAAATTAAGAAACTAAGGTCAAGATAAAAATATGTAATTGTAACATGATTTATGTTTGAATATATTTTTTGCTGAAAAAACTAAAATTTGTTTCTATAATTTAATTTAAAAACTAATTGAGATGTATAATAACAAAAAAAATGGACACAAACTTTTTTGTATATATTTTTGTGACTAATTTGATATTGTTTTAAAACAAATATGAAACTTCAAATGATAATTTTTTTGAAACATTAGATTAAAAATATAAAATACAATAATAAATCAAAATTTTTAATTTTTAAAAATGTATAATTAAATGATAAAATTCAAAACATTCAATTATGAAAAGCTAAAATAAGTTCATAAATTACAAAAAATTTAATTCATATTATCTACAATTTAGTCTCTAATTATATCATGAACATAATAAATATGTTTTGATGATCAAGGTTGATTTAACAAAGATGCCTTACTAGTATCTACACTTTCATTTTCAACTAATTGAATTTTTCCTTATAAGTTATTGTTGTACAAAATATTTTAACTTATGTTTTATACTTAAATTTGGGCATATTTTATAAAATTATAAACATATTCTTCCATAATCTAAAAGTCCTCCCTAAAATACATTTCAAACTTGAATTGTCATTGCTCTCAAACTTAAATTTGGGCCACCCCAACCTAAGTTGGAATGTTTCCCAAACACACCCATAGTTTAGTGGGTTTATCATACACACTGTTGCTGAGAAGTTCTTGTTTTGCCAATATTGGGCCTCCTATTTAAAGGCCAGTCTATTGAAAACCATCATATTTCTCTCAAAATAAAAATCCAAACAACCTAAATCATCCGGCGCGGGAGGCGGTTTTTAACAGCCCCTTGTTTTAGTTTACACTGTGCTAATCCTCTCTCTTCTCTAGTTCTCTGTATATTATATAAGCATCTGATTTCAGGTGCAGGAGGCGAGAGAGAGAGAGAGAGAGAGAGAGAGTGAACTTGAGGGAGGAATGGTGGGACAGCGGGCGGCGACGAAGCCAAGCAGGAGCGACGAGGTGTTGGATGCTAATGAGCAAGAAAGGATCGCCAATCAGATCAGAGAACAGTTCGATTCCTTGGCCCCCAAGCGACCCGTCAAGCCCAATCGAAGCGAACCCGATCCTGATGCTCAGCTTGATCTCTCCTCCACCGTCTTGTCTCACAGCATTCCCGAGCTTCTCAAGTTTCAGTCGTTTCAATCCCAACCTCATGTCCGCAGCTATACCTCTCCTTTCTTTCTTTCTTTATTTGTTGGAATTTCTCTATCTGTCTCTCATGGCTGTTTCTTCAATCCCTAGGCTGTGTTCTCCGACGAAGCACCCAAGGATGTGCCGGACGAGTTTGTAGAGACCCAGTACTACAAAGAGTTGACCTCAATTGACAAACAGCATCACACGGTTCGTTATCTTTCTGTTTCTAGATCTGATCAAGTGTTTAAAACCTTTTGAATCAATTCTGGGTTTGGTTCTTTTTTTCCCCCCCCCCCGGCCTGGAACAGACCGGAAGTGGGTTTATCAGGGTTGAGAGTCTTGGAGGCGATGATCTTAAATTGCAGAAAACCCAGATTATCAATGTCGGCGAAACGAAGCTTGCGGACTATAAAAGCAACCCGGCCACAAACGATTGGATTCCCGACATTGATGAAAACCAGGTATAATTCTTTTTGACGTGTTTTCACCTTTCACGACCATTGAATTTTCAGCAGAATGAAATCAAATGTTAATTTAATCATGTGGTAATAGGTATTTGTATCGGTGAAGCCAAATCGGAGCGAGAGTTCATAGAAGGAAACAGGAGCCGATTATGTGTGAGGTTTGATTAGGTGGTGAAGCTTTAAAATAAAACTTGTAGTAGGTATTTAGGTTTACACTATTGGGAAAGAAACAGAGAATAAAGAATTTTACTGAAGGGTACCTTGTTCTTATCCGTTGTGACTAATAAACAATTACCAAAATCATCATGAACCGTATGACCAACACAATTAGTGGAATCGTCCCTCTGGAAGCATCTACGACCATTTCTTCTTTCTTTTTCTTTTTCCTTTTTTAATGTTTATAATTATGGGAAACATCTATGGAAACTCGGAGAAATTTAATTGAGATCTCTTTGAATTTGTTCAAAGAGGATTATTTAAACGAACGCTGCAAACTATGTGAAGGAGACTGAAAAGAATTGGTTCCGTATATATATGTGTATAAATTGAAATTAATTCAAGGCGATAAGGAATCAATATATATATATATATATATATATAAGTAAAATCACTGTTTCGCCAGGAGAGTTAAAAATGGAAAGTATTTAAATTTGATGTGTTTTAAGTCTAATCACTCAAGGAATGACACAACTGTGACTATTAAATTTTATCAATAAATTGACAATAATTAATATGTTTTTTTAAAAAATTTAAAATAATAATAATGATCAAGAAACTCCTCATCTTTTTTAAAAATTTAAAATTTAATATTTTGTGAATGATATGTAACAAAATTTTGAATAGTTATTTAATTAAATTAAACGATTGATATTATATATTCGGGAGTGGGTAGACTTAAAATATGCATTTAATTCAAATCCCAGAAGTTACTTCTGAAATTGGTGTCCGTGTCCCTTTGGCATGCCAGCTGCTCAGTGACATGGGGCTTTGCTAATTAATTGAATGATACGTTGGCTAACATTAAGCCAGTGACATGTAATCTCCTTTATAGGAAGGTTACGAGTTCAATCATACTTGTAAGCTCAATAGTTAATATTGTATTTGATAAAATTATATAAAAAATTTGCAATTTTTTATTTTAAAAATAAATTTCTAGAATAAAAATGAGACCAATTTAATTAAATCAAAAATAAAAAGAACAGAAGTCAGACCTAACTGCCCTTTGTTCTTTCTTTTGAAATATTAAAATGCCACAAATAAATTAAATCAAATAATGCCCACAACAGAAATTTAGAGAAAAATACATGGCTTTATTTAACACTCCAATCCGCATGGAGAGTACAATTACAAACACACAAGTACGGCTTAGATCTTATTTATAATGTGTTATATAAAAATAAAAAATATTTTAATTATAGGATGTCAAATAAAAAGATGAAACGGTTTTCTAGTTTTATTCTCTTAATTTAAAAAGTATTTGCATAAATAATAAAGTGATTCATTATCTTTCTTAATTAATAAAAATACAAGTGAAAAAATAGAAAGTTTTTTTTAAGTAACAGTAATTTTTCTATGTTTAATCAATTCACTAAAGAAAGGAGGGATTCAGATTCCATACAATTGTTTTGAACAAAGGCCATAAAGCGCTGAGGGCACTATCAAGAAAAGAAGAAACTTGTAAAGATTCTTTATCTAGTATCAGCAATACTATTCTAATTCCTCAAGATGTGATTAACACTAACCTCCCAGCTAGAGTTGAGGAGCTTGATGGTTTCAGAAATGACAAGGCTTTAACCACAGTGAAGATGAGCATGGGATCGAAGGGTATCCACCATAATCTTGGAATCTAATTCTAATATGACGTTTTCGAAGCTCAAGCCCCAAAGTGAATTGTAGGCCCTTCTAACAAGCCCAAGCTTTTACCTCAAGTGGGTTGCAGTGACCAAAAGAAAAAGTAAAGCCAGCGATCCAAGCATTGATATCAGATGGCTCCGCCACAACCAGCTTTCAAATTAGTGGGGGAGACAACACTAAAAAAATTATAACTATAATTTATAATTGAGATTAGGGCTCAACTAAAATTAAAAGAAAAATCTACAACTATAATATAATTTATATTTAAATTTTTTTAAAAAAAATTAGTTAGACGAATTAAAATTTGTTTAAATAATTTAATGCAAAAGTTAATTGAAATATATAATGATAAAAATAGATATGAGTTTTTTTGTATATATTTGTGACAAATTTGATATTTTTAGAAAAAAGTATTTAACTTAAAACTATAATTTTTTTAAAGGAGTAGATTGCAAATATAAAATAGATTGATAAATAAAAAATTATTAGAAATTTTTTAAATTTAAAAAATAATAGAAAATTGTTAGAATAAAATCAGGATTTCTGCTTTGTTTCCAGATTATTTAGCTCATGGAAAGTAATGAATAACGATATATGACTAATTATAATTATAATATAATATAAAATTTTGTCTTCGAATAATTTGCCTCGGACTTGTTACAGTGACAGAGCTGCTCCAATCCTTCAGCCAATGGCTTGCCTTCTCAATACTTCCTTTCTGCATTCTTTCTCAACCCTTCCCTGGAAACCCATTTTCCCGCCTTCATTCCATACCACTACTGGTAATTGAAGCAGAGCCCAGATTCAAGCCAACGTTTGGGAGATATTGATGTCGGCGTTGAGCTTAGCAATGACGCAAGACGAAAGAAGGGATGAGGTGAGGAAACTGAGACACGATACGCGTGAGTAACACCTAGTCAACGGAAGACTAGATGGCGGCAATGGCGGCAGCACAATATCCAATGAGATCTACGTCGACGAGAAAGAAGTGAAGAGCTCAGACTCGTGAATGCATGAAGACAGACCAACAAATCAAGCACTTGAATAAGATAAATAAGGAGAGAGAAGACTGATGAAAAAGTTTAAGCCAGATCTAAACGCTCTATATGTGGCTTCATTGAAAAACGCTCGTTTGCCTTGCCCATTCACTATTTTTTTTTTTTTTGTAATTCAAACAAGATCAAATAAGTTTGAAAAAACAAAATTTTAAATTCCTACGTTTTATTCATATTTTAATAACAGTTCTTGTATTTTTTTTTATGTTTTAAATTTCTATAATTTTATTTGTTAGTGTTTTAGCTCCCTTTAAAGTCCCTGCACTTTATTCATAAAATGACTTAAAATGCAAAAAAATAAAAATATAGAAACCTAAAACATAAAAAAAAAATACAGGAACTAATAACAAAACGTGAGCAAAATACAAAAATCTAAAATTATATTATCCTAATAAATTTTTAACATCCCAACTTAAGTTTAGGTCAACCTAGGTTGAGATGTTAACCAAATATATCCTAAGTTTTTTACATAGTTGTTTGTCGTGTGAACAACAAATACCAAGAGTACCAAAGCTGTTGAGTCTCAATTGATAATAAAAGGATCCTTAGCTCCTTTATCACAGTTCACTCGAATGTAAAAGATATACAAGGCTTTGATAGAATGAGTGTTTTAATTTTTATTGAAACGTGAAAAAGTTACAAGTTTAGATTGAAAGTAAAAACTAACTGATAAAACTAAAGGCTAAAGGTGCAAAATGCAAGTCTTTGATTGAGTGTTGACTGTCTTTCTTCTATATCTTCGTCTTCTATTTATAGTGTCAGAGTGGTGGTAGCCTCTCTCTTAAGACCTAGAATGTCTAGTGGAAAAATTAAGGATCTTGCGAAACTTATGGCACAATCTTTATTTCGTATTTTCCATTTTTGGTAATCAGCCTATCTCACCGATATACTTGGGCATGATGTCCGTAGATTCTAGAATTACTCGAGATCGTGTCTTCATGTGTCAACGGTCCAACATTTGTAATTGACAAGATTTCAACATGTTTATTTTATTATGGCCTTTATTGAGCTTCGAGGCCGACCCCTTTGTTCAGATTGAGCCTGACTTTTTAGTTACTCAGCTCAAATAGCTTTGTGACTTATTTGAGTGATATTTCATATTTTAGCCCAAACAATGCCCCCGTGTGACAGTGGCTAATAACATAAGCCATGTGGCACGTTTGAAAAAACTGAAACATCATTTCGTCTCTGAGCTCCCTTTGTTAATATAAGCTTATTTCTTTTTTTGGTCACTTCTCTTGCCCTTTCTACCGTTTCTTGACATTCAAGCTTTTGCATCCTTTACTCCAATCTTTCCTATGCTCACAAATGGCTTCCTCTACTACTATGCTTGCCTCTATTGCCACTCTGTCTTCTACATCTATCAAGAGTCTGCCTGATTCCTTGGCCACCATCCAAAATACTATCACCTCACTCGAAGGACTAATGACGATACGTATTTGATTGCTAAAAACCCTTATCTCCCTCGAATTAGGTCCTTATTTTAATATTTCTTTATTTTTGCTATAGGAGGATTCCTCATTCCACAATTCCATCGCTTTTTGGTAAGCTCTTTACTTTTCTTGTTTGGCCGTTCTATTTTATTAGGAAAATACACTAATTGTTCATTGTCTTTTTGGTACTTCACCTTGGAGTTTACATATCTCCAACAAAAGTGACATTAGGTATCTAACTATTTCTCCCAACTTGTCTAAAGTAACTGCCCCCACCCAGCTAAATGCATGGCCGCTAACCTCAATCCGCAACTTGATCCTAGCCTAAACGACCTCACCCTTTCCCAAGTCATCTTTCCGAAAGCTTTGGAACTGGCCTTAGTCTCCTCCTGCTTGGGTCAACTATGTGAGATGTTTGAAGCAAACCCACGCATATCAGTGGAAGGAGATGAGTCTCTATGACCTTATCTAACTTTTCTTAGTCAATATCAATATTCCAGTTGACCTACTGATGGCCCTCTTGAGTTTTTGGGCTTCGGGCTATAATGCCTTTATCCTCAAGCTGAGTCCCATGTCAATCACATTATGGGACGTTTTTATGTACTTGGGGCTACCTATCACTGGGGAGGAGAATTTCTACATAATCCTTGAAAAGCATGACTCCTACATCACCCTCCTCGCGGATTTGGAGAGTAAGATTAAGGGCGCTGGCTCCTATACGAAGATCATGGAGTTGTTCTCCAAGAAGCTAGTTGACGAGCTCGTCACCCCCATGGAGTACCTGGTCTTCATTTAGATCCTATTGAGCCAATAGATCCTAGCTTTGAGGGGAGGAAAGCTCGTGCAACTGCACGTACGGATCACTCAGTCCCTCTTTTACGGCAACTAGATAGCCCCGGGGACTATGTTTTTGTGTCGTCTGTATGACAGCATGATGGAGTCTTTGATGAAGAAGCCTTTCAGTAACT